ACTCCAGACAGATACTCGCACTGTAAATGGTCTATCGATTTTACAAGGGCTAGAAATGAGGCCACCACGTAATCGAGCAGAAGGACAGAGCTGAGACGAGTGGGTTCTGACAGTACAGGGGAGTTTGAAAAGTGCCTCCTGTTAGGTATTTTTAGAAGAACCTTCGAGTAACTTGGTAAACTGATCACAGCATCTGATGTTCTTCTCTGTCAAGGGCTTAGAGAAAGTCCAGCATAGCCTTTGCACTTGTGTTTGGGCAGGGGTTTCCTCTTCCTGCCTAGAAGCCAGTTTAGTTTTAGTTGATCCAGACCTTCTCAGTTCCTGAGCTTTGATGACATTTTCACTTAGCTTGATTGTGAATGTTTTAGAAATTTCCCACAATGGAAAGTTCTGTGTGACACCTAAAAGTTCAATGGTCAGTTTTGTAGCCAGCTGTATGCCAAGAAATAACTAAAACAATGGATTGTGTAGAGCAGCCTTGGGATGTGGAAAATTTTTAGAAGATGGATGATTCATGCTATTAATACATGTTGCAAGGCCTGAGGCCTTACATTGGAAAAGTTTTTTTTTTTTTTTTTGTTTTTTTTTGGAACGCTTTTTTTTTTTTTTTTTTTTTTTTTTTTTTTTTTTTGGTTTTTCTCCGGTACCGGGAACCGAACTCACGACCTTGCGCTTGCCAGGCAGGCGCTTTTGCCGCTGAGCTAAATCCCCAGCCCCTGAGACAGCATCTTTCTATGCAGTTCAGGTTGGCCTTGAGCTCACTTTGTAGCCCAGGCTGGCCTCAAACTCACAATGATCCTCCTGCCTCAGCCTCCTGAGTGCTGGGATTATAGGCGTGTGCCACCATGCCCAGCTAGAAAAGCTTATTTTTTAAAGCTAATAGTCATTTGATAATTTTTGTTATGTTTAATTTTTTTTAAGGAATTAAAAAGTTAAATCGTAAAGTTTTAGGAAAGAGGTAGCATAAAGGTGCATGAATTTCCTCAAACATGATAAGGTCTGAAAAATTGATAATCCCTTTAACAAATTTTTGGAAAAATGATAATTACTATTCTTCTTTCCATATTATGCTTTTAGGAGGAAAGGGGAAATTATTGTTACTGTCTTGACCAGGATTTATTACCCCTTTTGAGTCAACTTTGATATTTGTAAGATTCTCAGTCTTAATTCACATCTGGTCTAAAATTTCTTCCTAAAATTAATTAGACCTGGCACTCTAGGAGGCCGAGGCAGAGGATAGAAGGCTTGAGCTCAGTCTGGACAATAACTGACTTAGAAGATCCTGCCTTACAGGGGGCATCACAATTCCTGACTTGAAATTATACTATAAAGCTACAGTGATAAAAACAGCACAGTACTGGCAAGTGGCCAGTGGATCAGTGGCACACATTAGAAGACACAGAAACTACTCCAGATACATTCAGCCACCTTATTGTTGATAAAGGGGCCAAACACCTTCACGAAGAGGAAGATAGCCTCTCTGATAAGTGGCACTGGAAAAACTGGCTTCCCCATGTCATAGACTAAACCTAGACCCCTGTCTCTCACCATGCACTAAGCTGAAATAGAAATGGGTTGAAGATCTAAAATGAAAATAGAAACACTAAATCTTCTGGAAGAAAGAATAGGTAGAACTCTTGAAGACATTGGTGTAGGCAAAGACTTTATAAACAAAACCCTGAACACACAGAAAATATCACAAAGAATCAGTATCTGGGATCTCATTATTATTTTTTAAAATTTTATTTTAAAGAGAAAAAATGAAATTTTGAAACAGGATAAGAGGAGAATAATAATGGGTAATACACTGTGTATTGTTATCTTTAAATTAGTTACTCAGAGTACAAGATATAGGCATTTAATTGTCCAAGCAATATTAGCACAAACTTTCTTTTTCAGTAAACTGAGTGGGATCTTATCTTATTAAAAAGCCTTTGCACAACAAAAGAAATCACCACAGTGTTGGAAAAAAAGTTTCGCCAGATGTTCCTCAAAGGACTAATAATCTAGAATATATGAGAGAACCCCCCAAAACTTGTACCCCCCAAATTTGAAGACTGAATCCATAAATGGGCATCTAAAGTGAATAGACATTTCTCAGATGAAGAAGTAGAAACAGCAAATAAATATATGAAAAAATATTCACCATCATTGGTCATTTGAGAGATGCAAATTGAAACAACACTGAGATTCCATCTCACCCCAGAAACACAATGGCTATCATCAAGAAATCAGCCAATAACAAATGCTGGAGGAGCTGTGGGGGGAAAAGGAACCCTTCTCCACTGTTGGTGAGAGTCTAGACTGGTGCAGTCACTGTGGAAATCAGTGTGGAGATTGCTCAAAAAAACTAAAAGTTGAGGTTCTAGTTGATTCAGCTATTCTCCATTTTGGTATCTTCCAGAAAAAATTAAAAGCATCATACCACAGTGATGTATGCACACCCCATGTTTATATATAACAGCACAGTTTATAATAGCTAAATCGTAAAAACAACCCAAAGCCCATCAAATGCTGAATGGACAAAGATGTGGTTTTCTTTATGCGATGGAGGACTACTCTGCCGTAGTGAAGGACAAACGAGACAGTTCTAGGTAAATGGATGCGCCCTGAGACCACACTCTGAAGTGAAATGGACTGGACACACGTGTGTAAATATTGCATGTTTTCTCTGGTGTGAGAAATGGAAAGTGTAAATCAGGGCCAAAATGGATGGCACATATTGAGAGGTAGGAAGAAAATGTTCAAATAGGAAGAGGAACTAGGGGGAGAGGGAGAGGGCAGAAGGGGAAAGAAAAAATGAGAAATCAAGCTTTTGTAAATGAGAGGGTTGATGGGAGGAGAGGGAAAGGTGAAAAGTGATCAAGATGGATCACGTACAGGTTCTAATCCATATGATCAATGTTATCATTGTGTGTACCTAAAACGTGCCAATAAAATTCATTAAAAAGTACGATCCTGCCTTAAAAAAAAGAAAAAGGACAAGCTGGGAGGTAGCACAGAGTGAAAGCCTTTGGTTGCAACAAAGAAAGAAAGAAAGAAAAGAAACAAGAACAAACAGCCCAGGTAAAAAGAATGGATTCACAAATGACTGACATGTCATATTTACTGTTAGAACTTCATTCTTACAAGATTTTTGAAGCAGCCCTGTAGTACAACAAGGCAGCCCTGCTACTCTGGCAGCCTCTTACTGGAGATATAAACCCAAATGCCACCAATATTCAGCAGGTGAAGCCAGGTGTTGTGGCACATGCCTGTAATCCCAGCACTCAGGAGGCTGAGGCAGGAGGATCTTTGTGAGTTGGAGACCAGCCTGGGCTACAAAGTGAGCTCAAGGCCAGCCTGAACTGCATAGTGAGACCCTGTCTCAAAAGGACAAAGAAAAAAACAACAAACAAAATAAAAAAAATATTCAGCAGGTGGGAACTCATACAGCGGAGCCATTTAAGTGCTAGCATTCCTTGTAAATTGTTGGGAAATAACTCCCACCTCACAGGTACCTCTCAGGATCCTGCTTTAGCCCTGTAGGCAGTATCCATTCTGATTAGATGGGCCGATGCCCTGGGACTTCTTTTGTATTTTGAGTACTTTGAGTTGCCTATGGAAAAGGAGATAGTTTGGCTTACTGATAAAAACTAGGCTTTGCTAGTTGGCCACCCAGGAAATGCCTGTGAAACTACAGAGAGATGTCACTTCACCCCATCTAGGCTGCCTGTTGTAAAAAGACAGATAAGAACAAGTGTTGGTGAGGGTGCGGGTGCGGAGAAATTGGAATGCTCAAACATCACCTGTGAGAATGTAAATGCTGCAGACACAATGGCAAACAGGCAGTTTCTCAAAAGATTAAGCATTCTTGGAAAAGGAAATATGTATCCACATAAAAAAAACCTCGATACAAATGTTCAAAGTGGAAATAATCATAATAGAGCCGGGTGTGGTGGTGCAGGCCTGGAATCCCAGCACTCAGCAGGCTGAGGCAGGAGGATCTCCATGAATTTGAGGCTAGACTAAGCTACAAAGCAAGTTCAAAGCCAGCCTCAACGACATAGCAAGATACTGTTTCAAAGAGACCAAAAAAAAAAAAAAAAAAAATCATAATAGACAAAGGATGGAAACTGTCCCAGTGTCCCTGAACTGATGAATGTGTAGGTAAGATATAGTTTATATATGCAGTGGAATATTATTCAAGCATACTATATTATTCCACCGTACCACATGGAATCTTGAAAATATGGTAAGTGAAAGAAGCCCAAACAGTCCACATTATGATTTTATTTACATAAAACATCCAGGACGGGCAAATCTGTGGAGATCAGAAATAGACTTAAGTGGCTGCCTTGGCCAGGGTGAGGCGAGGACACAGAGAGTGCTTTTTGGGGCTGATGAAAAAGGTTCTGGAGTTGATTTCCGTGACAATCACACAATTCTTTGAAAGCACTGATGATCAGCGAGTCATCCATTATGAATGGGTTAATTGCACACGATTTGAATTATGTATCAATACCCCTGTTGCTACTCATTTTGGGCTTTGTGTGACAGATTGTGTCACTGCTTTTCCCTGTCTCCTCGAAGCAAGCCTAGGAGAGGGCTGAGTTCACACCTGTGGAGAGCGAGGCTTACAGAGAATCTTCTCATTTCTAGTCAGGCTTCTGTCTTTGGTGCTTCAGCCAGTAGCAGGAAGAGGATGCCTTTTCATCCAGACCTGTGTGTATCCCGATAGAGGTATCGTCTGTGACAGTCTTAGCAATAAGGAGAAAATTTCCGTTTCAAAGCAGGAAAGAAAAATAGTTCAAGGAGACTAAGAGAGCAGGTGCAAGAAAATGAATACTAGTTTTCTTTGCTTTTTGCACGTGTGTGGTTAACATGTACATAAATGATAGCCGGAGACTGAGGCAGACACCCTGAAGAGAGTAATCTGGAAAATATGACTCAAGATGGTTACCTCTTATCTTATAAACGGGTGGTTAAGTTTTTTTTTTTTTTCCATAATTGCAATTTCTAAGGGATTTAGAAAGAAATCCTGTTGAGCTTTATTTCCCCAAGGCATATATGGATACTAACATGAAATAATAGGTGCAATTTATCCTTTGAAGTATAGTTAATCTGTAACCAAGCTCTTTGCCCAATTGTATGCCCAGGGCAAACACCTTTACTGACACACGCGTGGTGGGGGTGGGTGGTTGTGCCCCTTGACATTTAACACTGGCGCTCAGGGAGGAAAGTGAGCGTCGCTCTACAGTCCATCAGCAGCATTCGAAGGCTTTTAGTTGTGACTATTTAAAAAAAACAAAACAAAACAACAACCAACCAGCTAAAGAGATTTCACTGTCTGCAAAGTGTAACTTCCTGTCTGGTGTTTAGGGGTGGTTGGGTTAGGTTTAGTCAGATCCTCTCGTGGGAAAAATAAAAGGCACCAAAAAAAAAAAAAAAAGAAAGAAAAACACAGGACGTCCCAGTGTGCAGTTCGCAAGCCGCTTTTGTTGTTCACTTCCTCTGCATCTTCGCCCTCATCATTTTAGCAGCCGTAGGTGATGAGTGGCCCGGCAGCCACCGCCTTACACTGGAAACAGTGCAGGTTGGATTTGCCCGGGCAGGCGGCTCTCCAGGCTTGCCGGCGATTGCCAGGTGAGTTTGTCAGCTTGCGGGGCACGGGCTGGCTGGGGCGGCGCCGAAGGCAGTGCCTGGCAGCTATGATAGGCAGGGACAGCCTGCCTGCTCTCTCTGACGCCGCATCTGCTGCGGCCCCTGCCAGGCCCGGACCACCATGGTCTGCTTCAGTTTGCTCTCGCGAAGGTGATAACTTGCTGGTGTCGATGGCGTCTTTGGCAACAGTACACCGAAACCACAAATGGTTGTGACGAACAGTGGCTCCCTGTTGTCGAAGTAGCTTGGGTTGTGTGAGCTGCTTACTGCAAGAGAAGAAAATTTCTTCCGTGATGTACTGAACACAGACGGACCACATCCCATCTGTGTTCGGGTTACTCAGTTGGCTGAAAAGCTGTTGTACTTTTTTGTAAAATACCAAGTTTAGAGGTGAGAAGGGAAGAGTCAGATATTTATACTTTAGGGGGGCGATATAAAGGAGTGTTTTGAAATGCGTGGGCTTGTCCCGGAGAACCCAGTAGGGTGGCGCTGTCCTGGGTGACTTAGTTTTTCTGATCAGGTCGGACATCTGGGTCTTGTGGAATGGTTGGAAGTGCGGTCGGTCGTGTGAGCTCAACGAAAGGATGGATGACTTTTGTCTGCCCGCATGTCCATGAATGAATTGTTCCTATGGAAAAACCTTTGGGCTATGTAGAGTTTCAAAACAACAATGTTTTTCTTTCCCTTAGTGTTTTCCTTCCTAGCTTCTTATGAATGAGGTGCTCTCAGTACCCTCCCTCTGAGGGCAAATTTAAACTGTACTGAATGGAGGGGCCTCTACTTCCTTAGTGAACATGGTTTCTTGGCCAAGTGTCGTAGGATATCGGTGTGCTACCGTTCTTTTCATGGGCTCTTACTGCGTTCTCTTGTTGAATAACTGTGGCCCCAGCACAAAACCGAAGTATCTTTCAGGGACTTTAATCAAACTTCAGGCAGAGAAGCAGCCCTTACAAACACCGTTGCCCTCCCAGGTTTTTTTGGACTCTGATTTAACCCTCTTTCTTTGCCTGGCCTGAACCATCTCTTAGTGAGTTTGTCTTTGTCTCACTGTCTTATTATAAAGGGTCTGGGGTCACTGTAGTGGCTGAAATCCAAAGACAATTAGAAGAGAAATACAGACAAACCTTTGCGTAGTAAGCGAACTAAATGAGCGGACTACAGCTTTAAATGTATTCAAATGCTCTACTGGTTGAGTTCTGGTCTATTTAGATAGCATTCTTCCCTGCCCTCTGGCCAGTCAAAAGGTTTTAGGAAAATAGAAAACTTTTTTTTAAAATAAAAAATATTTCAGGGCATGTTATTTTAATAAAAATAGAAAACCAGTGTGTACATGGTTTTAAATCCCACAGGGAGCTAGCATCTCTCTCATGACTTGTTCCTGAACTGGATTTTTTCTTATTTCTGTAGTGTAGTTTTCTTCAGCGAGCTTGTGAGAAGTAAAGACATTAAAATTATTGTTAAAGTTAACATTTTCACCAGTTGTTAGCAGTATTCTGTCTGGAGGAGACCGAAGTTAAAAAAGAAAGTCCAAAAATGAAAAAATCGTTTGGAGGCGTCCTGGGGCGTCTGGGTACCTATCAGTACCCCGCTGATTTATGTGTGGAAGCTGCCCTGCTCAGGAAACTACTTCTGGGAGGCCCTGCTTATCTTGCCTGCCTTCCTGCTTTTGGTGGCTGACGGGATTCCATGTTTGTGTCGGCCACTTCCTTTCTAGATACATGGATTGAAGGATTCAGGACCCTGGCTGCCCATTAGAGTCACTAGGTTTGTGAAAGCCTCCCGATAGGGGTTCTGCTGGAGTCAGACGGAGGCCTTGACTTGGGAGCTTTGCAGAAGTTCACCAGGGTATCCTGTGGGGGGAGTCTTGTGTTGGAGGCTTGCAAGGGGATACTCCTTGTTTCCCCTAGTGGACTGAGCTCCACAAGGAGAGGACCTCACTTTGTGCCTGGCAGGCAGGAAAGTCTCAGCACCCACTGTAGAATGAATGCATGAGTTTGTTGGGGGCAATGGGTGGGTCAGACAGAGGCTTAGCTTGGGGTCTGTGCTGGTATGGAGAATGGGGTGTTGTGGCCTGGGCACAAGCTCTAGGCCAAGGTCCTTGTGAGTGTCCTTGTGTGACAAGGCAGCTGAGAACTTTTGGGTATAAGAATTTCATCAGGAGGAGTGTGTGTGTGTGTGTGTGTGTGTGTGTGCGCACATGCACTTGTGGAGGTGGAGGTGGGTATCATTTGGGGACACTACCACGAAGTCCTCCTGAGCCCCGGCTGAGTCACAAGGCCCTCAATTCTCTGGTCTCCACACCCCAGGGTTGCTGAGGTCTTCCCCAGTATCCCATTCTTCTGTCCATTTAGTCAACATCCAGGGGGGTCTCTGTTTCAGGCCTTACTCAGGGAAGCGGCTCGGGGTGTAAAAATGAAGGTGTTAGTTCTTCCCTGCTGGAAGGAATGGCATGGGGAAGCCCCTCCGCAGTCTTGTGCTGGCTGAAAGAAGGGAGTGTGACCATATTTGCCAGTCCTGTGGGACTGCCCAAGCCGCAGGTGACTATGTGCAATGAAGCGAGTCCAGAATTCCGAGAGATCAGAGAGCAAGCAGACTTTCTGAGAAAATCCTTCAGGTGGTATGAGGTTTTTGCTGATCTTTGTGTCCTTAGAGAACATGAGTTTGTGGCTAGGAAGATCAGACAGAATATAATTCACAGAAGTGTGAAGGTAAGGGTCATTAAAGTGGGAGAAAGTTAGAGAGAATGACTTCTTTGAAACAAGAGTTTTTTGGGGATGTGGGGGCAATGTGATACTGCACAGCTCTCCAAGAGACGGTGCCTGGCACGCCCTGCCATCCCTGCTACCAACCGTGTGAGTCACTGAGCTTCTGAGACCCTCACCGAGTAGCAGTTCCTGGCTGGTTGCGGTCAGGAGGCACAGAGTAATGCATTTTCACATGTTTTGCAAGCTATGGTAATAGCTCTAGGTAAATGAAAGGAAAATGTTTCAGTGGGGTGTGGCCGCGCATGCCTGTAATCCCCGAGCTCTGGGAGGCTGAGCCAAGAGGATCTCAAATTGCAGCTCAGCCAGGGCAATTGAGCAATTTAGCAAGACCTGACCTAAAAATAAAAAATTTAAAAAAGGGCTAGGCATTTAGCTCAGTTGGAGGTCCTGGATTTAGTCCTTAGTGCTGGGGTGGGGATATATTCTACAAAAAGTATAAAAATCTAGTCAGTTGATAATGAGCTGTGACTGGTAGGTAGGCAGGTAGAGTCCAGGAATAGGAAATTGTTTTGGTCATTTCGCTTGTTGCTGAGACAAAATACAAGACACTCCCAAGACAAAGAAGGAAAGGTTTATTTCATCCCGCAGTCTGTAGAGGTTTCAGTCCATAGTCGGCTGGCTCCAAGGCAGTGTGGCATGGCTGAGGGGCATCACAGAGGAGGAACAGTCCATGGCAAAGCAGGCAGGAGGCAGCAAAGCAGCAAACAACAAGCCTCCCTCTCCCTTTTATCCCATCCAGTCCACCAGCCTTTTTGATTGTGCCTCCCATACCCAGGGTGGGCCTTGCTGTTATCCACAGCCAGAACTACACTAAATGAATCAGTGGACTAATGTAGTACCACAAACCCTTAATCCCAGTGTCACCCATCCAGCCAGCTTCAAAGAGCCCCACCTATGAGTGCATGAGGCTTTGGGGGGACATCTAGATTCAAGTCATAACACAAATCAAATATTTTGCTCATGGTGCTACTTTAAGATATTTAAACCATGTCCCCCATTGTCTTTCTAGTGTGTGTTTCTTTGGCATGACTTGAAAGGCGTGCCCATGTGGCTGGTCATGGATCCTTTCATGTTTTCACTTTGGTTCTCTGGCCCCTCGGAGGGTACCAGGTGCTTCCTCCTCTGATCAGAGAGTCAGATGCAATCTAGGCACAGAGGCTGCCTCACTCCTGCCGCAATATTTTGACCTTAATTTGAACAGCCCAGTGATCCGGCAACTCGAGTATTTTTTTCCCACCGCAGTATGGTAGGACTTCCATTGTTTGGCAGAGGAAGATGAGTCATAGCCTAGTTTTACAATTGAATTTCAGTGAAATGTTAGCATAGGACTGCAGGGACCCAGGTCAGACTTGCGGTCTGCACCGGAGTATTGAAACACGGATTGTGCGTTGGGCGTGTGCTTTAGGCAGGGACTGGTGCTGGTCATCGAGACTCTGGAATTGCTTTCAAATTGAAGGAGCATTTTATTGTAATATATTTTGCACTCAAATCTAACTTTTAGCAATGTATTTAAAATATTTAAAAAAAAACCGTAAGTAAATCAGAATCACAAAATTCAATGCAGAATGGAAATTATACAAAATAGAAAACTGACATATGTTACTGGATTCTGTAGACTCTTTCTAGGTCCTTGGTGTCCTGAACAAATAATTGAACAAAAAGGCAGTGAGGTTTTACATGTATTAAAGGTAGGAAAAGAAGCGTGCTCTATAGAGTGAGAGCTGGCCACCTAGAGAGCTCCTGGAGGCCATGAGGTTAGTGGCCGAGGTCGTTAGGCTGATGTTAGGTGTAGGCCATTCTATCAGAAATCTGCTTGATTTTGCATCAGAAAAATTAAAGATAGCATTTTTTTTCCCCGCACATGTCCTGGATCGCTGTGATGGATGCATCACACCCACTTGCCCAGCATGTTCGCTGCACCCTAATCTCCTGCCTCAGTCTTGTCTGTGATTTTTTTCCCTCATAGCCTTGTTCATAACTGTGTCCCACTACATTTTTTTCCCTGTGGATACAAAAAAGTTTTATGTCTAAGTTCCCACAAACACAGTTTTTCTTTTTGAATCATAATTGAAACCATTTTGTGTTAGTGATTAGTATCCCATTTTATTTTATTATTTTATTTCATTTTTTTTGTTTTTTTTTCTGGTACCGGGAATCGAACTCACGACCTTGTACTTGCCAGGCAGGCTCTGTGCTGCTGAGCTAAATCCCCAGCCC